ATGTGTGGTGTGCGTTGTGTTTGGTGTGTGTTGTGTGTGGTGTGTCTTGTGTGTTGTGTGTGTTGTGTGTGGTGTGTGTTATGTGCGGTGTGTGTTGTGTGCGGTGTGTGTTGTGTGTGGTGTGTGGTGTGTGTGTGTGTGTATGTGTGGTGTGTGGTGTGTGTGGTGTGTGTGTGGTGTGTGTATGGTGTGTGTGGTGTGGGGTGTGTGTGTGGTGTGTGGTGTGTGTTTCTTTTTTGGATGGTCAATCCCCTGCCATCAAGATCACTCGAAAGCACAGACGTCGGCCGTCAACGAAACCCTTTTGTGCTTCGGGTGACGGCCCTTCAAAGCAACAGCCCATCTGCTCTTGTTGCCCCTCGTGGCTCCCGCAACTCCCAGGCACGGTTCGCCCAGGGTCTTGAACGGACCCAACGGACTGAAAGCCTTGCACGAGATACAGGCGAACGGCGGACTCTCATCGGAGCAATTAAAAGCGAGGAGCGTGTGTTCCCGCTCCTTCACCCCTAAAATAGCCACAGGGACCTCCCCCGAACAGCCAGAAGGCGAGGGGCGGTCATCTTGGTGTTTGAAGCGCAAGCCGGTGTCGCACCTCCAATAGGTTCTGCGCCACACCCACACGTGATCATCAGTGGGCGCGGAGGCTTTGACCTCCCTAGGGGCCTTAATTAACTCTACACCTGGAATGTCGAGCCGGGGCCAAGCTGGAAGGAACCGTGCTCCAAGCTTGATCGCCGCCTTGCCAACGCGCACTTGCCACGACAACAGCTGGCGCTCTTGCTCGGGCGGCCCAGGATGCATCCTAAGTCCGGGCTTGGCCGATTTGTTGGCCGCATCATTACCTGCTTTGAAGACTGGTCTTGGGAAGGGTACACATCGCCCTCCCGCACGTGGGCTTGACTGTCTTGAAATCCACGCAAGGTGCAGAGAGGGAAGAAAACGTCATGGCAGCATAAGGGCGCTTATAGGAGAGCTGCAGATTCCTGGGGGCCTCCTTGGCTCTGACCACGTTGAAACAATCAGAATGACCCCTAGACGGCCCAGAGATACACCGCGAGGCGGCCTCAAGGGCCCCAAACTCCCCCGCTTGACTAGTTTGGGGGAGAGGGGCCCAGATGGGGCCGCAAACCGAACATAAAAGCTCCCCATACTCAGGATGGGCTGTAACCCCCCAGCTTGCTCGAGATAGCTCTTTAAGTATGTTACGCTCACAACTACTGTCTGTGAGGGTGTCCCCCGAAACGCTGGTGTCATCCCTCAATGGGTCGTCGGCCCAGGACACACATCCTCCGTCTTCTCTGCGAGGGCGTGGCCACGAATCACCTGGGTGGGGGAAGACAGCCTTATAATAGAGACGGAACTGCTGCCTATCGTCCTGGTCGGTCGCTCTGGCCGCTTCTTGGATCTCCTGGTCCACTAGATCATCCCTGAGCGATACCTTGGAACAGCACCATCACCGATGATATATCGAATCCGACGTCGCCTGGCAGAGCGGACACAGGTCGGACTCAACTTGGTATCCAGCTTGGATCGCGCGATCCATGGTCCAGACAACCCCACACTTAAGCCCACGGATGCGCCCTTTCTCGAAGCAGTTGTATTTGCTGGAGGAAAAGGGCTGCCCGGACCACGTCTCAACAGAGCCTGGCGTCGACGCTGAGGGACTTGCCTGAATCGCGCTGCAACTCCCTGAAGACTCCATGTCGCAGTGAAGCCTTACTAAGAGCTGGAGACATAGAGGTCATGTCCAAGGTGTTTTCGAAATCGTTGACAAGCTCGGTAAATAATGACTTCATGCCCCATCTAATTCTAGATACAGACAGCTTCATGGCCCCTATATGGGGCCTCTCACTTTCCTCCAGTTAAGCTCGTCCTGATCGCCTTCCAGATCCCCAAATATTTCATCCCAAGCTTGTCTCAGAAATCGGGAAGCTAGCGGAATCTGGAACATCTTGCGCGGATTAGCCTAAATCTCTTCAGCGTAACAAGCAACATGCGAAACCGAAGAAACCAACAAGGATCGTTCTCAAGGGTGAGCAAGGAAGTGAGGCCCCTCTGACCCGAGGATGGTTTCAGCACTCGCCCGAGGGATCGACGCAAACCACCGAACTCGTAATCAAGCTCCGTTGGCTGCAGACGCGTATGTGACCCCTGCAAAAGGGCCCGTGGTAAAACTCGTTTGACCAGCCTCTGTCCTAGAGCAGCTCGACGTCTGCCAGGCCTGGATACACGCTTCTTGAAGACAGCAAGCCTGCGAGAGTGCTTCACTCCCTGCCTCCCTGCCTCCTCGGTCTCCCCGCCGTATCATCCACCCCAGGATGACCTGCTGACCTGACTGATAAGACCTTGCCTCAAAGCCCTTGTGTGTTGTGTGTTGTGTGAGTGTTGTGTGTTGTGTGTTGTGTGTTGTGCGTGTTGTGTGTGGTGTGTGTTGTGTGCTGTGTGTTGTGTGTGTGTGTGTGTGTGTTGTGTGTTGTGTGTGTGTTGTCTGTTGTGTGTGGTGTGCTGTTCATGTTGTGTGTTGTGTCTGTGTTGTGTGTGTGTGTGTGTTGTGTGTTGTGTGTGTTGTGTGTGCTGTGTTGTGTGTGTGTGTTGTGTGTGTGTGTGTTATGCGTGCTGTGTGTTGTGTGTTGTGTATGTTGGGTGTGTTGTGTGTATTGTGTGTGGTGTGTGTGTGTGTTGTGTGTTGTGTGTTATGTTGATTGTGTGTGTGTTGTGTGTGTTGTGTGTGTTGTGTGTGTGTGTATTGTGTGCGTGTTGTGTGTGTGTGGTGTGTGTGTGTGTGTTGTGTGGTGTGTGTGTGTGTGTGTGTGAGCGTTGTGTTTGTTGTGTGTTGTTGTGTGTTGTGTGTGTTGTGTGTGTTGTGTGTGTGTGTGTGTTGTGTGTGTGTATGGTGTGTGCTGTGTTGTGTGTGTGTTGTGTGTTGTGGGTGTTGTGTGTGTGTGTGCTGTGTGTGTGTTGTGTATGCGTGTTGTGTGTGTGTGTGTGTGTGTGTTTTGAATGGTTGTTGTGTGTGTGTTGTATGTGTTGGGTGTTGTGTGTGTGTTGTGTGTTGTGTGTGTTGTGTGTGATTTGTGTTGTGTGCGTTGTGTGTGTGGTGTATGTGTGTGTTGTGTGTGTGTTGTGTGTGTGTTGTGTTGTGTGTCGTGTGTGTCGTGTGTGTTGTGTGTTGTGTGTTGTGTGTTGTGTGTGTTGTGTGTGTTTGTGTGTGTTGTGTGCGTGTGTTGTGTGTTGTGTGCGTTGTGTGGGCGTGTTGTGTGCGTGTGTGTTGTGTGTGCTGTGTGTGTTGTGTGTGTTGTGTGTGTGTTGTGTGTTGTGTGTTGTGTGTTGTGTGTGTGATGTGTGTGGTGTGTGTGTGTTGTGTGTGTGTTGTGTGTGTGTGTGTGTGTGTGTTGTGTGTGTTGTGTGTGTGTGTGCGCGCGTGCGCTTCCAATCTTTTCCATCGTCTGCCGCTGGCCCGGATGCCCTGCCCTTATTTTGGAGGTGGCCTTTCCAATGTCGTTCCATGGTGCGCGCGCCTAAAGCCACGACGCCGCGCGCGTGGCCGCGAAGGAAACAATGCCCTTCCTCTCTGGGCGTCTAAAATACCGCCACCGCCCTCACCCTCCGATTTCGTACCCTTGCCTGCACGGTTTCCCCTGGGGCCGTAGGCGATCCGATGATGATGATGAGGAGGAGGAGGTGGAGGAGGGGGAGGAGGACATGTAGGAGGAGGAAAAGAAGGGAGGAGGAGGAGGAGGAGGAGGAGGAAGAGGAGGACGGGTCGCCTAAACACTTCGGAGAAACCCTCCACCCTTGCCTCGGCGACAAGCCGCACGCGCCTTCCACCGCGCGCCTCCGCGACCAGGCCTGGCGGCCTCCCTCCTGCCGGGCCCTCGACGCTCACACGCGGCTGAGCGGACAGGTAACCCTCCTGTGCCCGCCACCAATAGGCGCGAACTCCTCGACGGCAATTGCGTTCTCGCCTGCAAGAGCGTCCCCTATTGGGAATAACGATTCCACGGGGAATAGCGTCTTCACCAAGAAAGACCCAATAAATAACGTCTTCCCCGGGACGGGAACCCTTCACAAGGAGTAGCGTCTGAACTAGAATTTGCACCTCCATCAAGAAACATCTCCACTGCAAAATAGCGTCTTCACCGGAAATTAGCTTCGTCACCCAGAGTAGCGTCTTCACCAGGAAAATCGTCATCACCAGGAATCGCGCCCTCACTTGGAATTGCGTCTTCACCAGGAATGGCGTCTTTATGTTGTGTTTCGCGAGTAGTGTCCTCATTTGAGCAACGTCGTCGCCCATGCTACAACCTGAACGGTGGATAGCGCACATGCCTCATATTCTCTCGAGCAACGACTCTGGCCGGAATAGCGTTTTCCAAGAACATAGAGCCTTCGCAGATAACAGCGCCTGACCTGGAAGTAGCATGTCCGCCAGGAAACATTTCCACTGAAGAGTAGCGTCTCCGTCAGAAATAGTTTCGTCACCCAGAACAGCGTCTTCTGCGGGAAAAGCATCATCACCGAGAATCGCGCACCAATAATGGCGTCTTCTTGCTCTAGTTCGGCAATAGCGCCCTCATTTTGAACAGCGTCTTCTCCCATAGCGGGGGATAACGCATATGCCTCATACCCTCTCGAGCAGTGGTCCTGGCTGGAATAGCGTCTTCAAAGAGAATCGAATCTTCACAAGGAGTAACGTCTTCACCCTCTGGTTCGGCAATGACGTCTTCACTGGAAATAGCGCCTGCACAGGGACTAGAGTCTTCACCCTGTGGTTCTGTGATAGCGTCATCAATCGTAATAGCGCCTTCGCCCGTCCCATCGCCCTCGGCCATCGCGTCTTCAAATAGCGTCTTCGTCTTTGGTACGACTGGGGAACCCTGGCAACCGGGCCAATGTATACATGTTCGTATACAGAGGGAAAGAGAAAGAGAGAGATAGAGAGATTGGCCGCCCTGGCTTACGACCCCCCCCCTCGCTGGCACGAAGGCTAAGGTCGACACTGGGGTAGCGTGGCATGCTCGCTTCCGAGGGTGAATAGCTCCCGTACGTGTCCTGGCCGCGGCAGCCGGACGAGATGGGACGACTCGCCTGCTTCGACATCGCATCATCCCTCTCTCCCCTCCCGCCTCCCTCCCTCACCTCTTTCCTGTCCTGGTCCGTCGTGGTTACCGTGTCCTTCTCCGTCCCCGTCGTCTTCCTCTTCCCTCTTTTCCCCTGCTGTTCTCACTGTCCTCCTCCCCGCGCCCTCCTCCCATCCTCCTTGTCACTGGCCCCTCCGTCTCCCTCTACCTGTCTTTCACCTCCTCCTGTCCTATTCTTCTCCTCCAACTTTTCCCTACCTACACCCGCATGGCCCTCCTATTTCAGCTGGCCTCCTTACCTCTTCCCGCACTCTCCGACGTCTATAGCTCTTCCTCTATTTCTTTCCCTCCGCCCTCCCCCCCGTGCGGCTTCTCCTCCTCGACTTCCCTTTTCCTCCTCCCAACCCACCTTTGCCTCCCGTCCTCCTGCTCGTCGCCCTCCTCCTCTTTTTCCTCCTCCGTCGCTCTCTCTCTCTCTCTGCCTGTCTCTCTCTCTCTCTTGAACTGTAGATGCAAGTCGATACGCGTTCTATGTAAAGCTATCATCATATATCTTAATATAGGCACGTACAAATGTGTAATCCATGCGCACGTAGCTCCATACACATATGGACAGCGACTTGTACCAGCATCTCTTTATATATTCACGTATGGGTATCTTTATGTATTCATCGGTTCTTATGTCTCTCTAATAACCAGTGTTTCTCTCGTTCTTGAGTTTCTGTTGTGTTCTTCATTCTCTCTCTCTCTCCCTCCTTCCCTCTCTCTCTCTCGCGGTATATATATATAGTTCACGATTTTTCTTACATTTTCGGTATATCTATATATGGGTGTACACATATACATATGTGTACATGGATATCTGTACACACATACGTACATACCATCATACTCACACACGTACATACGTACATACACGCACCCATCCATACGTACACACATGCATACTATATATATATATGTATGTACGTCTGTATGCACATGTCTATGTATACACGCACCACGCGCGCGCTTAGGTAATAACGCAGCTCAGGACAACCTCACCCGATTGGATGAGGATGAACATTCTCCCGCAAACGGTCACCCGAAGGGCGCGTACTACCTCATGGCCGCTTCAGGAGTCGCTGAATAAGGCTCCAGGAAGTCGTGCAAGGCAGCCATGAGGAGGATAAGGAGGACCCAGGGCAGCCTAAGCAGGAATTTCACCAGAGCCCATGAGAGCCTGGTTTTGCCGGGAGTCTCTTGGGATGCCTTTGGGGGGCGTTCTTGGAGGTTCCAAGGAATGCGGCCTCTTCGGCTTGAGTTGGGGGCCTCCTGTCGGCCTCTTGGGACTTTTCGGGGGCGCGTCCGGGGCCTCCGCAGGGCTCTTGAGACGGCCCCGCGTGGGGGCCCAGAGGGGCATTTCGAGCCCTCGGCCCCAAGAGGCCCCCAAGTGGTTCCGAGAGGCCCCCAAGTGGCCCCAACAGGCCCCCAAGAGGTGCCCAGGAGGCTCCAGGAGGCACCCGCGAGGTGTTTTTTTGATCCCCAGGGCCCCCATCGGATCCCGCCACGAGGCCCGTCGCCGCAAATTGCGGCCTGAAGTCAGGTCCCCTCGACCTGCGCCTGCACCAAGTTCGCCTCGACGCCGCCCCGTAGTGCTTAGCCGCCTTGCACTGGCAGGACGGGATCCTGAGGCTGCTGCTTGCCCGTCTGCGGGTGCTTCCCCGCCAGGATGCGGTCCCTCTTCTTTCTCTTGGCGTCGTCCTTTGATGACTTACCCTCCTTCTCCAACGGCCCTGGGCAGGCTGCCCCGAGCCCCGCTCTCCTGGTCGCAGAGGGGCGACGTGCGGCCCGTGCGCCTCCACTCGATGCTCTCGCTCCGCGGGTAGTGCCTTGCCTTCGCCTCTCTCTCCCTCTTGAGCTCCGGCCGCCGCTGCTGCGGCCGTCGCCATGGCCGCGCGCGTCTCGCGCGACCCTGCGGTCCCAGTCCTTCGCGCCCCCGTTGACCTCCACGGCGGCGGCTGGCGCGCCGACTCCCGCGGCTTCTTGCGCGCGCGCTTGGATGCTGCTCCCTTGCCGCCCCTCTCGCGCGCGAGCCATGTGCCGATCGTCGCCACCTCGTGCTTCGTCAGCGCCAGCTTCGGCTTGACTAGCTTCGTCCGCGGCTTCCCTGGCTCTCGCTTGGTAACGTCGGGCCACTCGCCTCCCATCTTCTGGTGCCGCCAGCCGATGTTCTGCGCCGCCCAGCGCGCCTTCGCGCCCAGCTCGTCCAGCGCCTGCTGCTTCCCGTACTTTGCGTCCAGCGCCGCGCCCTCCCTTGCCGGCAGGTCCACGGCGCCGTTGCCCGTCGCAATATTGAGCTCGTCGCCCTGCAACTGCGCAATCTTTGCCTTGGACGTATGCGCCTTCACGTGGTGCACCATGCTCGGGTCCAGGTCCATGTCCTTCACCTTGCGCCGGATCCTCCGCCGCAGATCTGCGTGCGGCCCCTTCCAGCTTGTGTGCCGCCTCTCGCCCCGCTGTGGGCCATCGATGATGCCCTCGTGGTCTGTGTAGATCCTGCGCGGCGGGGGCGCATTCTCGAGCACCTTGAGGAACGCCCGCGTCTCCTTTCGCTTGACCTGCTTCTGCGCTGGCAGCGTGCAGGGTAGCGGGCCCCACAGCTGCACCTTCGGCTTGCCTTCGTCTGTAAGTGACGTGGCCGCCCAGCCCGTCTGCGCCCGCTCACTGTAACCGAGCTTTGACCCGTCGCGCACTACGTCGCCCGTGAACTGGTCGTCGTCGCCCTCGAGCACCGCCCCAATGTACTTACTGGTCCTCTTTAATGCCTACGAAACTCCAGTCCGCCTCAGGGCTCCTGGTTAGCCCTCGCGCCCAGAGTAGGCTGTCCTCCTGCTGCTTCACCGCGTGCTGCCACTCCGCCTGCGCATGGAGTCTCTGCTCCCTCAGGGCGTCGCACTTGAACGGCCTGATGCGGCGTGCCGCCTGCCTGTCCGCAGCCCAAACGTATGTCCGTCGGCGCAATGTTGCATTCGCAGAGCTTGCTCATACGTCCAGCTAGCTGCCTCCTATGAGAACCAGCCTTCAGCGTCTCGCCGAACACCTGCGCTACGTACTGCTGCTGCTGCTGCTGCCTCAACCGCGCGCGCAGGTCGTCCACGTGCATCCTCCACGCGGCGATGGGCCTCAACCGCCAGCCCGCCCGCCGTCGACTGGATGGCCATCGCGAGGAAACCGACCGAGAACTCGGCCCCCGCGATGATGGAAGCCATCGTGCGCGTCTCCTCCGACACCGACCCGCCCACGATTAGCCTCCTCGCCATGGCGAAGTACGAGCGACCACTGCCAAGACCGCCGTATTGAACTGGAGCTGCTGCCCGCCTCCCCGAGCACGAGGAGGCTCGCGCGCTCGAGCGCCTTGACCAGGTCCAGAATGGCTCGGATCGTTGCCTCCGTGTACTCGTCCTCCACGTCCGGGTTGCCCATCTCATGGCTGAGCAGCGCGTCCCATGCTGCGCCCCCCGCCGCCTCCCCGAAGCCTGTGCGGTCCCAGGGTCTCTGGTTCCCCTTGGCTCGCATAAACCATGTGCGGCTCGCGCGTGATCTCCCAGATCCTCATCGTGGTCGGCAACAGTCCAATCGCCCGATCTGTGGTGCATGTATTCGGTATCCGGAAGAAAAGGACCGTGCCCGCGTGCGCGGGCCACGCGAACGTCTTCTCCACCTCGCGTAAGATGTCCAGCAGCGTCGTGCACGCCCCGCCGAGCGCGCCCTGCAGCGACGACGGGTGCCGCCTATCGACTCCGATGCCCGTCTTCATGCTGAATGTCCTGGCAGATCCTCTCAACTTGGCCACGCCCTCCTCTGCCAAGTCACTCAACTGTTCTCTGGCCTCGACCTCCCGCGGCTTGATCTGCTGCTGCGTGGGGCCACTTGTCCGCCATGTTGTCTTCCACTCTGACTGCGCGAACTCTGCTGGCTCCAGCGGGTCTGCCGCCGTGTCCATCGCGCCCGCTCTCCTCGACCTCCACGCCCGGGCTGGTTTTCTGAGCCTGTGCCCCCCCCGCCGCGCCCGCCACTGCCGCCTCCAACTCATCCGCCAATTTCGCGAGTCGCTCCTTTAGCAGCTGCTGGTCGCGCCCCTTGTACCTGGCCGCCGCCTCCTCGTGGGGCTCCTGCAGTTTGTCCTTTTCAGCGCTGCTCCTCCAGCGCCGTGTGGCCAGCGACTCGTATCGTGCTCGCCGTGCTCCTTGCTTCTCTGTGGTGAGATGCCCTGTGCGCTGCTCCCTGATCCTGAACAGCTTCTCCTGCTCCTTCGCCTCGCGCAAACGCTTGCCCCGCTGCTCCGTCGTGGCGCGCAGCCGCTGGTGCGCGCCCTGCAGTTTCCGCGAGAAACGCGAGATCCACTTTCATGATCACCGAATGGCCTGCCTCGCTGCCGCTGGTAAATTGTCGCCCAAAGCTGAGCGGCTTGATCCTCCGCGTGGGCGCCTCCGCCCCTCCCGCGTGAGGGTCGTTCTCCGTCCGCTGCGCGCCTCTGATCGCCAATGCCTCCTTCTCCAGCTCGAGCGTGTGCTTGGCCCGCTCCTGGTTCGCCGCTGCCTGCGGGCCGAAGCTGACCACTTGCCAGTGCCTCGACGGCGCGCCCGATCTGCGTGTCTGGCATGGGCTTCAGCTTCTCCAAGACCCTGGCCTTGCGCTCTGCGAACTTCCGCTTGGTCGCCCGCCCCGCTGCCCTTTGCGGAGTTGATGGCCGCTCCTCCCGCGCGCGAATGCCTACTGCCTGCGCCCCGACCGCGTCGGCCACTCTGCAGTAATCGATCTCGCTGCTGCCGTGGGCGTGCCTGGGCGTTCCACGCGCTGCCTGCGGTGCTATCGCGCGCGCCTTGGCTAACTTAACGCACTTCACCTCGGCCAGGATCTCTGGCCCTACCTGGAAGCCCCCGCCCGCGGGCTCCCAGCGTCTGCAGCTGGCCCGCCGCGCGTGTGATCAGCTCCCTGTTGCGGTGCGGCATGCCCTCGGCCGTCCACGGGCGCGCCGACGCGACCATTGCGCCCTTGCCCGCCGATGCCCAAGCCGCTGCCGCGCGCCCTGGGCTGCCTCTTGGTGAGATGTCCCACGTGTCTTGGCCGTGCAGGTAGGTCATGCCTGCGCGCTTCGATGCGGCCACTGCTGCCCCCGCAGACGAGCCCACGTCGCCTGCTGGCCCCATTGTTGGCGCAGCTGCGGCACCACCCGACTGGTCACCTGCGTCTTCATGCGCTGCGTGACCACAGGCCGCTTGTCTTCGGTGAGATGATGTGCCTGCACTGCGTAGCAATGCAACGTGCCTAGCATCTTCTCGCCCAACTTTTCCTCGATGGTGCCCCAGCCCGAGCCGTTGAAGGTCCAGGCTGTGACTTTGTCGTACTTCTTCGTCTTCTTGCTGCCGTCGTGGTTAAGAAGGCTTCTGACGCTTGGCTGAATGCTCAACCAGGCTGGTGCAGATCTCGATCCGCCACCTCGTCTGCTCGTCGCGGGCACCGGAAGGTGGTCCACCTGCCTGAACTATGCTTGTTCAGGTTCTGATAGCTCTGGCCCGTCGTCCTGACCTCCTGCTGCGTCACCACCGTCACCCACAGTTGTAGCACCAGGAGTCCCAGGTGGAGGAGCCATCTGCACGTCGTCCTTCGCGGTGGCCATGACCTTGCCGAACTGGGCGAACAACTGCTGGTACTCCAGCAGAGACACGCCACTGCCGTCGACTGCCTGTTCGTACTACTGTTGCATGGCTGCGAGGAAACGGGAAGAGGCGTCTCCAACACCCTGCACCTTGAGCTCCTGCTCTCGCGCACGTGCTGCCTTCGCTTGCTCCTCTTTTTTTGTCAGGCGCTCGCGAGCCTCCGCCAACTTCTCCTCGTGCCGCTGCACCCCCTCCTGGAGGCCTGCTACTTCCTTCTCTACCTTCTCTCTCGCGATGCGCGCCTGGCTGAGCTGCAAACTGTGTGGCTTGGCGCTGTCCTTGTCGTCCCGCGCACGCTGATACTTCTCCTGAGCGGCCTGGCACTCCACCGACGATTTCCCCCATTCTGTCTTGTAAGCCTGGGCCCACTTGTACACCTTGGTAAGATCCGCCTTTGGCTCCATCTCGCCGCTTTCCATGTCGAGGAGTGGAGAGGAGCTCATCGCGCATGGCGTCCATTTTTTTGCATGGTAGCTTCATGCTTGGATGGGGCCCAGCAGCACCTGCTTGAAAGTAGCTGTCTGTCTGGGAGCTTGTGTTCCACATCCTCGACACAACCTCCTCGACGTGCAGTTGTCGCCGACTCCGCACGAACATGACCACGGGCCGTTGTTCTGCTTTCAATGTTTTTGCCACTCCGCCGCAAACGCCATGGCTCGATAACATTCGCGCGAGGGTGACCCGAACGCCGGGCAGCAAGCTGCTCTGACTGTCGCGGACTAGCGGTGTCCCTTCGTCCCCAGGGCGGCGGCCCCCTGATGATGACATCTTGGGCCGACATGGCTACGGGGAGGTCCCCAAGAGGCCCCCCACGGGCCCCCAAGGGGCCCCAAAACTGATCCCAAGAGGCCCCCGAGCGCGCTCCGAAGAGACCCGAAAAAACACCCCTGAGAACTTCGCCCCGCAACCCGGGCACGGGGGTGAGATGGGCCGAAAGCCATTCTCTCTCCCTCTGTCTCCCTATCCCACCAACGGGGACCTACCCTAACGGTCCCATGACACAAACAAGAAAGGGGGCTCAGGCCCTCCTGCGCGTCTTCTGGAGCCTCGACCATCGAAGCTGCAAACCACTCGCCCTGGCGTGACTCAGGGACTTCTACGCAACGGCCCGAGACTATCCACCACCTGTGGAAGTGGGCCCCGAGGCGCACAGGGGGTGACCCTCGAGAAGAGCATGTTGCACCCAGTGTTTTCCAGCCTTGCGTTGCTCGTGCTACCGAGTCTCCAGCTGAAGTGCTTTCTGCTGACGAACTCCGACTTGCTCTTGACGAATATGGTCTGGAGCTTTATGGTGAAGAACTTCGTGCCGAATGCTTCGCTTCCACAACACGCTCTGTTGCAGTTCGTAGCGATGGCGGGCGCTCTGCTCTTCGTGCGGGGGCCAGCATGGTCAGGAACAGTGGCCAAGACCCATGGGCTGCAGGATTGGATCCGTGGTCAGCGGCGGCCTGAAGTGGTCTAGAAGAACGCCGTGCCTCTGAGAAAGCACGCCGCTTCGGGTGTACAGGCAATGAACGATGTGCTCTGCACCGTCTGCCGCCCAGCGCGGACCCGCGCCGCGTGCAGTGCTCTACGTCGTGTCGTCGTCGTCGTCGTCGTCTCCTCTGCAGTGTCGTCTCCTTTGTAGTGGGTGGGCACACTCACAGTGCATTCGCAGCGCCAAGACCGCTCCCAAGGCAGATGCTGGCCTGCGACTACGCTCACATCGGCATTTCAGCTCTGGCGCCCCGCCCCCATACTGCGAGGCCCTGGGTCCCTCTCACTCTCCTTCTCCCTCCCTCCTTCTCCAGCTCCTCCGTCCTCTTCCCCCTCTTCCTCCTCCTCCTCCTCCTCCTCCTGCTCCTCCTTCTCCAAGTGCTGCTACTTTTCCTGCCCCTTGTCCTCCCCCTCCCCCTCCTTTCTCATTTCTCTCTTCTCCTCCTCCTCCTCCTCCTCGTCCTCGTCCTCGTCCTCCTCCTCCTTCTCGCCTTCCTTCACCCATCCTCCCTCTTCCTCCTCGTCCTCCCCCTCCTTTCCCCTCTCCCCCTGCCTCCCTCCTCCTCGTCCCCACACCCTCCCTCCTCCCTGGCAGGTCGGGCGGCGGTCCGCCCGCCCAGAGTAGCTGCACTTGCCGCCCGGGCTCGGCGTGAACGCCCCGGAATCCTGCGCCGCGGGTGCTGCGGCGGCGTGGCGCCCAGGGCCGCGTCGGCGCCGCGCCCCCGGGGGGCGACGCTGGCGCGGCTGGAACGTCCCTCCGCTGGTCTCTTCCATCTCCTCCTCCTGCCTAGCCATTCTGGCTCAAGATGGGCGTTCTTCAGGAGGAGCGTGTGGATACCGCTGGTCCGCGGCAGCCTTCCATATCTACTCCGCTGAACTCGCCTCGGTGCAGACGACCAGCAAACCAACATGTGTGGGCTATTCCGTGGTCCTCCACATCTTGGCAACATGGTGGGTGGCTGCTCACGGCGATGGATGGGACTGCCGAACACGGGTGTTGCAGCCACGGCCACGTCGATGGGGTGATTCCTACAATACTCCAATGAACGAGCCCACCAACGAGCAACCAAAGCAGGATAAGTGGGACAATGGGACAAACGACGACGACGGTTGGCACACTGTGTCGAGCAACGCGAACCTGTTGTGCTCTCACTGCAATTTCCGCAAGAACCCAAAAAGGGCGCCTTGTTTTGCAAACGTTGTTTTCAACGCCTCGGCGCACAACATCAACCAGATCCCGTCCCCGAAGTTGCCAGCCAGACTGCCAGTAATACACGGGGTCCACAAAGGGCGATAATAATAACGAGGGTAGCAAGCAACCAAATCCAGAAAACGACAATGACGGCACGGACCTTCCGCTCAAACTCCCCCCTGTGCCTCTTCCAACAATCTCTCCTGACAAGGCTCATCAACTTCAGCAGCTTGCGCAAGAAGCCGTCGACGCAGAAAGTGCAAAACGCTGCGCAGCCTTGGCAGCACGTACGGCTTCCGCTCAGAACGGCCCTACTGCCAGGCAAAGCCTTGCCATGATTGAGAAGCGACAAAAGCACCTCGAGAACCGCATCACCGCAGAATTCGACACGGTTGAGACGTGGCACATGTTCATCAATGAACTCGACGTTTAACTACACGCAGCATGCCAAGACGTACGAGACGCCCTCCACGAGATGCTGCATTAACACTGTGGGCTTGACGATGAGCCTACCTCGGCCACGCCAACATGGATTCGCCTCCGCAGAATGGACGAAGGAGGCGCAAAGCTAGCATCGGTTATTTCTGTCGACGACGTCATTGACGTTGAGGCTTGCAAGCAAGGCTGCGATATCAACGAATCTTATTTGGCCGAGCTCGAGAAGCGCAAGAACGATGCTGCCAAGCAAATGTAAGACATCCTTCCGTCCTTATTCAAGGAAGCCATGGGAAAGGCGAACGAGGCACAAGTCGCACACCAGAAGCCTCGCTGCCAAGACGCGCAGTGGGCACCCGAATCAGAGCAGCAGGCCGCCGCCACAGGTGCTCGCTCCGACAATGCAGCAGCTCCTGCAGAGGTATCACCTGCATCAGGAGCAGCGGCAATTCGCTCTGGGGCGGCGCCAGTGGCTCGCAAAGATACCAATGCACGCGTTGCCAAGGTCGCAGACGTACAGGCTGCGCAGCACGAACAACCGACTCAACATCAAAAGCGAGGGCCGGCCCTCCTTTGTGCACACACCGTATACACCTGCGGGGGCGCAGTTGGAGAGGGGCTCGACTAGCGAGACACCCAGTGCATCTCAGAGCGGCTCCTCAGCGCTGTCTCCATCGATTCGACCAGCAACCTGTTGGACCTGCTGGGCGACACCTACAACAACCCAACAACACCTGAAGACCTTCTGCGATGTCCAACTCTACTGCGTCAGGGCAACGATGTGCGACGGCGTGGGATTTACCGCCAATGGAGTGGGGGCGTTCCCTGCCAATCCAACAAAGATCACAACAGCATGAGACGCACGCGGGAGGCAATCTTCTGTGGATGGGACTACCTCCAATATCGCTCCTGGACCAGATTGAGCGCAGCCACGTTGACGACAGGCGAGATGATCTGGAGTCATGGGCAGAGTCATGCATACATGATTTGAGAGGTGAGCAATTTGTGGATCCATCACAACAGTGCATCCCATATATTCGAAACTTTCTCAACTGCTGTTGCAATCCAGATCTCCAGCAGCGCGCCCTGGTAAGGTACGCGGCAAGTACTACTGTGGATGGATTGGTGCCCAGTTGTCTGGAGACGACCGTCTATCGAGCAGGCATGGCTCTTCGGCTCCACCAACCGACTTGACAAGAACGGAAGGGACCGCTTCATGGAAGTACACTGGCGGATTTTCACGGATTTGGGGAACATGCTGCGTGCTGTCCTTGGGGACGACGCCCCAAGACCTCCTGACGACAAAGCGCTCAACGGCAAAGCGCATCACGGCTAAGCGTGGCTAGTCACCAGTCGCGGAGACTTCGTTTGCAGCTGAAAACGTTCCAGAGCAAGAGGACAATTGTCCACACCACAGGATCTTCGACGAAGCTGGAAGGTGGGCTCGCGAACGCCTACACGAAGCAGGGTACGATGTTGACAGAGGTTGCAAACATTGTGATCTTCTATTTCCTGAGGCACTACTACATCAAACATGGCTCTGCAGAGACAGGCGTGGTGAAGAGACCGAGGCCAGCAACCTGCCTTTTCTGCGAGCAGCCGATGGGGCAGAAATGGATCCCTCTATATGGCTGCGAAGGCTCCCGCCAGCCAGCCCAATCAAACCTGTGCTCAGGCCTGGCGTTGGGCGTGAAGGTTGGTTTGTTGGAGATGGTTTAGGAGGCCGTCACTCCGAGGACATTTGCAGGCGTGGGGTAGGCTTCGGAGTTGCTTCGCTCCTTTGGAGGCCTGCCTCGTCCTGGGCCATCTCCTCGGGCCCCAGTGCTCCACTCCAGGGTCTGAGACACACGGTTCCCAACGGCGAGATGCAGTGTTCTCGCGGTGGGATGTCGATGAGCTCGTTGGGCTTTTGGAAGTGGCGGGCCTGGAGGTAACGGCGGTGGTGGGTGATCTCCCTCTGTCTTGTAGGGTGGTATTGCCCTCACAACGTAGTCCCCTGTAGCCTTGTTTCGATACCTGAAGGTATCCTTGTTGTCGCTGGTGAAGTACCTTCTCCACGGGGGCTCGAGCTTCCAGTTCCCGGGATGTCCCAAGTATATTCCCTGGTGCTGGGGCTGTGGTAGTGCGCCTGCGCCATGTTGTTGTTGTTGCTGCTGCTGTTGTTGTTGTTGCTGCCAGAGCGGACCCCTCAAAAACTTAAGCCCGCCTTTCTGGCGGCGTTCCGCGGCGGTGGACGCATTAGACAATGAGGTGAAGAAACTGCTGCGCCGCGGCGTCAAACGCCCGTTTGTTTATTCGGACTTAAAGAAACTCTTGCCCATGTGGGCAGAGGTAAAATGCGTGAAGGATGCAACAGAGGACGAGGGCGCCGTCAGCTCGGTCAAATCCAGATCGCTGACATTCTCGCAATGGCATTCAGCGTTCGAGATGTGCGCGACAAGTTGCTTGCGCCGCGCGCGCAACTAAACGCGGCTTTCGCTTGCGCGCAGGCACGCCCTAGCCTGCGTCTGCACCGGTCAGATGTCGTTGGCCGCGACGGTCAGCCACCGTCAGATTGTCCTCAAGGCTCGCGATTCGCGATTCGCCAAGCGCTCAAGGGGTCGCGCGACGCGTGTGTTCTGCGCGCGGCCCGCGCCAGGTGGCCGCGCAGGCGCCGTGGGCCAATCGGGGCGGCCAGCTGGCGCTCGTATATGATGAGCTCTGCCGGCGCAACTGGGCTGAGAGGTCTACTGCGGGCGACGAAACGTTCAACGTTGAGACGGCCGTCGCTGCTGTGGATGCGACTTTGCTCCAGACAGCGGCAGCTGAGTCCGACAGAGGTGCGAAGGGGCGCGCGGCATTCCGCGGGGGCAAAGGCGGCAATGGTGGCGCCAGAGGCGGCGAGGGCAACGGCAAGAGCGCAAAGGGCGCCAGCAAGGGCAAGGCCTCTGGCGCGCCGGGGTGGCGATCGCGGTGACCACGAAGAGCCGCGGGCTAAGGGGGCCAGATATCAGGGGCGCTGACTTGACGCGCGGCGCCTGGTAGGCGCCGCGCGTTCCGCGCGCGTGCGACGTCGGCCCCAGTCTATGTAGCAAGCGTTGCTCAGAGCCCGGAGGTGGCATTTGAATGCCGCGGGGGCGAGGCTGTCGAGCTAATCGCAGGTTTCCCTGCGGAGCTCGAGGCCCCCCGCGCGGCGCGTCCAAACGATTGTCGCGCGCGCCGGCGCTGCGTTTCTGAAGGCCGCCAATTCGGCGGGGGTGCGCGCTGCGCCGCCCGCGCCGGCAGCGTTGCTGAGGAGTCGCGCCCGCGCGGGCCCACCCGCGACGGGCATGACTCGCGAACATTTGAAAAGGCGACGCCGCGGTCAAGCCGCGTCTCGAGGCGCGCGAGCGCCGCGTCTCGAGGCGCGCGAGCGCCGCGGCCCGTCGCGCGGCAGGCAAGCTCGTCACGGGTGTCGAGAAGAGGATTTGAATGTATTACCAAGGCACTTAGATATGGTATTCCTACCGCGCCTTCCCGGGGTATTGCAGAGGATGTGCAGAGCGCCATTGACAGGGGGGCGTCCATGGGATGCGCTGAAAGAATGCGCCACCGGGACAACGTGTTGTCGCGCCTGGAAGACTGGGACCAAGCGCTCCGCCGGGACGGATCAGTGCAACGCTGGTTCGATGGCGCGGACGAAGCGACGAGAGCCATCTCCGACGGCGTCAACGGGAAGCCGTTGGCCGAGTTGCTCGACATAACGAGCTGCGGCGACCCGGGTGCGGCTGACTTGTTTCGCAGCGGCGCGTCTCTCCTCGGCGACTTGCCCCGCGCGGGAGCGGCCCCGCGAAGGCTTTTCCCCGGGCCCATCTCCGCCGAGACCTTGCGGGCCTCGTCCGCAGCGCACAACAGAGAGATTGTTTCGTCTCTGAGGGAGGATGCGAACTCCTCGGCGCTGCGCGATGGCGCGCTTGCCGACGCAGCCATGTCGCGGATGACGTCTCCGGTACTCGTAGCCGATGCGGACCTCAGCAGGGTGCGCCTCTCGCCACGGTTTTCAATGATACTGGGCGTACAA